ATTTCATTCATTCCGTGTATGCTTAACTTTATGACACAATTTTATGAATGAAAGAAATATAATAAAATAAACATGCTGCTTGGGGGAAGATAAGCCCGAATGTTGTGGGATATTGGAGGCAAACGAATGACATGTCCGTGGGAAAAGCAGATGACGAAGCATATGAAAAGCTGCACAGTTTACCTTTAGTTACAGTATTGTGACTTTTATAATGAGAAACCACATTTTTTATTACAATAACTGTAGCATAGATTGTGTAAAGAAGTGGACTAAGGGAGTGTGGAAGTTATAAGATTGAATTTAGAGCCAGGAATAGGGATTTAAATAGTCAAATAAAACCATGATTATGTAGAGCGGGTTAATACGAACATTTTAAATCCAAACTTACGAGGCTCACTACATCGGAACCAGAGTTGATGGAGCCGGAAGTGTCACCATGTTCACTTCCTATTTGGAACGCAGTGGCTGGCAGGAGTGCTGTAGTCAAGATCGCACTAATCGAGACCGAGACCAGGACGAGACCAGGACGAGACCAAGACCTCTGAGGGTCGAGACCGAGACAAGACAAAGGCCAAATCTAGATCATCTTTGTCATTTTCTACATTCATTTCTATTTTACAGTTATTTTGAAAGATTTATATCAATGTTTTTTTTTTTTTTTTTTTTATAAATTTATTATCTACCAGTTTATCACTTGTGTCAGACCTTGAGACCGAGTCCAAGCGCCTTCAAGACTGAAACAAGACTGAGTCCAAACGCCTTCAAGACCAAGACAAGACCGAGTCAAAGCGCCTTCAAGACCAAGACAAGACCGAGTCAAAGCGCCTTCAAGACCAAGACAAGACCGAGTCAAAGCGCTTTCAAGACTGAAACAAGACCAAGTCCAAACTCCTTCAAGACCGAGACAATATCAAGTTCAAACGTGGTTGAGTCTAAACGAGACCATGACGGCACAAAAACGGTCTTGAGGCCGGTCTCAAGACCAAGACCGGTCTGGAGTACTACAGCACTAGGTAGCAGGTTATCTATGTCCATGTATATATACAGTCTATCAACTGTATTGTATGAACATATTCCCTGATATACGATACTGTCAGTCTGGAAGGGTTAATTAAACTATTATTCAAATTAAATTTAGGGGTGTCAAATTATCGCGTTAATTGCGATTAATTAATTACAGTCATATTTAGCGCGTTATGTTTTTTAATCGCATTAATCTCATTTTTAATCTCTAACGTTAGTGTTTCTGTATGTGAGTTGCTTTATTATAAAACCTGTTTTTATGTGTTGTTGGGACAACAACAACACACACACACACAGAAACACATTTATACATTTTTTTATTTTCGGTAATTCCACTCATTGCCGGAAACCCACACAAAACGCGCGCAGTAAGAGAGATATAAACGTCATATTCACGTTGGCAGCGTCAGTCGCACAATGGACGAGGTCGAAGAGCCAGTAGAACAGAGGCAGCAGTGCACAGGGAAAAACACATTCGTGTCTTGGAAATTATTCTCCCGACGTGAAATATAAAAGAAAATAACAAATATAATATCGCCTGAAAACAACCTGCATAGACTCATGATGTCTGCACTACTGTCCTATAGTGACCTGCCACATGAGGGGACACGCACACAAACACACACACAAAACAACACACACAACACACACACACAAACACACAACACAACACACACACACACAACGTCATCGTCGTTAACCTGAGAACGCGCGGACCATGTTTCCTTCCGTAGACCCTGCGCGAACATCGCTGTCCTCCCATGAGCCGCGTGTGGACTGTGTTTTCTCGCGTACGCTGTGCGCCTCTAAACCAGAACTAACACCAAGACTAAAACCAGGACTAAACCAGGTCTAAACCAGGACTAAAACCAGAACTAAAACCAGAACTAAAACCAGGTCTAAACCAGGACTAAACCAGGACTAAACCAGGACTAAACCAGGACTAAACCAGAACTAACACCAGGACTAAAACCAGGATTAATCCATTCCAGGACTAAACTAGGACTAAAGTAGGACTAAAGCAGGTCTAAACCAGGTCTAAACCAGGACTAAAACCAGTGATCTCATATATAAAGCATTTCTCTATCAATAATATTTTTAATATGGTTAAGGAAAGACTGGACTTTTTATTGTCTTTAAGTAGACAAAAGTTATTATGTTCAGATTTCCTCGTCTTTGCTGCTTTACAGCAAACAGTTTCTTATTCATGGAGACTTGGGCTCAACAGCCAATTTGGAGAGATTTGTTAAACAATAAATGACTTTATAAAGTCACTTTTTTTGTTCTATATCAGTCTTTTGATCTGCCACAATAATGTAATAATGAATTTAAATGAAAATACCTCAAATTGAAGGCTTTTCTCAGCAATTTTTAGGTGAGATTTAAAATGAGATTAATTAGATTAATTAATTACAGATCATAATTAATTAATCTCTCAATTTTTTTAATCGCATGACAGCACTAATTAAATTATTTACTTACAGGTGAGTTCGCTCAAAAATACAGAGAAAAAACATACATTTTGACTGTGAGGCTGTAACTTGGTCTGGTTTGGTCTCCATGAAGATAGAACGGTTTAATTCCTGTGAAACATTTCAGACAAAGCAATAACATCTCCATGAAGAAAAGTATCTGATGATCCCTCCAACAGAAAAGTTACACGATGCATTTTTAACCAGTGAATTGCAGATCAGTGGACGCCTCTGTTTGGTTTCACCTTTCACTCCTACTCAGATCTTCCTTCACCGAAACACTAAAAACCGTGGGGCAGAAAATGAAGAGTCTCATTTGCTTGTAAAACCGTGGCGGTCGTGACGGGGTTGGGCAGTGGAGCAGGTTAAAGCTTTGACTCCTCATCACAGTGTTGAGGAGGGGACTATTTTTAGACCATGAAACGATGACTCTATTCTCCGGCAGCAGTATTAATAACTCGTGAAGTTTCTCTTTAAAGTCCAACATTTTTTCATTTATGCTTAATACATGTTTTATGGCTCGTCAAGAGAATATGTAATCAATCTGAAGGTTAATGTTTGTGAAATGTCAGTGTTCTGGCCTATGCAAAACCATTAGAGCTGGAACAGAATTAAATATTGTGCGTGAATTAATGAAGATGATTTTAATGTCATTTGAGCAACACATTTTTTTTTATTATCGGACTGATCCTTTTCTCACATAGTTACAATATTTGATTAAAAAACAGGTTTTCAGTGCATTTTTTGTTCTCCAATCTCTTGTGTATTGTTCAAAGTTTCTTATTTTTATGTTAGATTAAATTAGTTATCCTCTTTTATGTCGTCATTATTGGTTTGGTCCTCTAGGTTCATGCAGTTGTGTCCTTTGGCAAGACACTTCACCCAATTTACCTGTGTGAATGTGTTAATGTGTGTTGAATGAATGTGAATGAATACCGTATTTTTCGGACTATAAGTTGCTCCGGAGTATAAATCGCACCAGCCAAAAAATGCATAATGGAAAAAAAAAAAAAAAAAAGTCACATCTTTGGGGGGATTTATTTTATAAAATCAGAGACCTGGAACAGACATTTCATCCTGAAAGGCAAGTTATAGTAATAGAATAGAGAACAACAGGCTGAACAGGCGTCTGGTATGTTTACGTAACTATACCTTCACTAGCTAGGACCACACGAACAACGACATAGATGCGAGAAGTTTATTGATAATGTACGAAGAGGGGCAGAGATGGTTGGGTTGAGACTATGGGTGGGGGCTGATGGGGATGATGGGAAAGGCTGCTACATACAGGCTTCTGGGAAACTCGAGGCGTGGTCGAGGTGAGTTGTGGTTCGCTGGTGAGAGGAGAGGGCGGCTGAGGCGTGGTCCTGCTCCTGAATCTCAGTTAATCATATTAACTACATATAAACAACAGAACATAATATCCCCTTAACACCGACTGTCACAAATATACAAATATACGCTCAAACTGTTTGGATTACAGCTGCATCCCCCCAGGTCCGGTTAGTACATATGCAGAACCTTCCTAGGAACCTTTGGCAAGCACTTGTTTTTAGTTGTCGCAAATTTTCAACATACCTAATTTATATTTATTTATTTATTGCTATAGTCAAATTAATAATCTTAACAAAATTTACTCTCTACTTAAAGGCAAAAACACACACATTGTTTTTTTTTAATATATATCTATATAAATTCAGGCATTAAGGGGATAAGTTTACCAAACTCTCCATCTCACTCCAAATCACCAAATCTATTGAATTCTTCATCCTCTGTTTCATCTCTGAGCAACTCCGCCAACTCTTGCTAAATCTAGCTTTTAGTCTGTGATTGGCTTTTTTTTTGTTTTCTTCATTGCAGTTAAGAGTTTCCTTCGCTTTCATCCCATCCCTCACAAGTTTCTCGCTCACTCCAAACTTTCTTCCTGCTGCTTGATTACTGTTTTCGGCTGAATATTTCACTACTTGCGGCAGGACAGAGGCTCTTTCGGCAGGAGACTTGCGCAGTAGAGAGTGAAGTGACAGTGGTACAGTGAGCTGCAGACAAGTCTAGAGCGCCTCCCTGCGCATGTCAGTGTGAAAATAATGAACATGTGAAATGGTATATTTTAATATTTAAGTCCCAGGATCACCCAAACTATGAAAGAAGTACAGCTTGTAGTCTGAAAAATATGGTGATTACATTTTAAATTAAAGGTGCATTGTGTAACGTTTGTGTTGGAGCGTTCGCCACCTGCTTTTCTCCATGTAGATGTTATTGCTTTGGTTGGAATGTTTCACAGTATGACATTAAACCTTTTTATCTTCATGGAGACCAAACCAGAGTAGCAGTTGCAGGTCAGATCTGTGGAAAGGTGACCCAGCTCAGTCAGTTTTTTCTCTGTATTTTTGAGCTAAAAAAACACCTGTAATTAAACAAATGTAGACTTTTAAAAAGGTAGACTTTTAAAAATTTAAATTAAAATCAACTCCAAGATACATCATGTTGAATTTTTTTTCTCTACAGGTGGCCCAAGACATTAGCTGGCATCCTGGCGTTTTTGCCCTGTGCCCCTGCGACCTTTGGCTCCGCCCCTCACCCCTCAGGCCACACCCCTCACTCGTCCCGCTCGAGGGGGGAGAGAAAGGAGAAGAAGGCCTGGAGGAGGTGCGACCGCTTGGGCCGCTGGGCAGAGGACGACTACACCCAGTGTCCCTACGCCAGCGAGCTGACCAGAGTGCTGCACGAACTCACTCAGGTCGGTACTCAAGTGTAGAATGGACACGATGTATTCCGAATCTGGAAGAAGGCTCGTCTTTTTTTTTTTTTTTTTTCTTCTTTAAATTAAGGACAACGGAATATAACATTTAGAAAATAAAACAACAATCAACATTTAACAATTACAATATTCAGCATAAAACTAAAACTAAAACATAAAGCAACACCCACAACACCCACAACAAATACAAAACAACAACAACAACAAAAAAACCCTCCATTTCCCCAAACCACCCACACCGACACAAATTTGGCTAAATCAAGCAAAAATAATGCGGTAGTGCAACATAAATACACCGCAAGGCTCCCTAACATTGACACATTGCGGCCAATTCATAATTGAAATTCCTATTGTCTCTCTCTCTTTTAGTCCCTGTACTTAAACTAATATTTATTTTCACCATCATCATTTCCTTGTATCATTTTTAATCATGGGTGGAGAGTCCCTGCCTCAAGTGGAGGAGTTCAAGTATCTCGGGGTCTTGTTCACGAGTGAGGGGAGGATGGAGAGTGAGATTGACAGGTGGACAGGTGCAGCGTCGGCAGTGATGCGGTCGCTCTATTGAACCGTTGTGGTGAAGAGGAGCTGAGTCGAAAGGCGAAGCTCTCGATTTACCATCAATCTACGTTCCTCCCCTCACCTATGGTCATGAGCTTTGGGTAATGACCAAAAGGACCAGATCGCGGATACAAGTGCTCGAAATGAGTTTCCTCTGCAGGGTGTCTGGACGCTCCCTTAGAGTTAGAGTGAGGAGCTCAGTCACACGGGAGGAGCTCGGAGTAGAGCTGCTGCTCCTCCACGTTGAGAGGAGCCAACTGAAGTGGCTCGGGCATCTGTGCTGGATGCCTCCTGGATGCCTGGTGTTCCGGGCATGTCCCACTGTGAGGAGGCCCCGGGGAAGACCTAGGACACGCTGGAGGGACTATGTCTCTTGGCTGGCCTGGGAACATCTCAGGTTCCTCCCGGAAGAGCTGGAGGAAGTGTGTGTGGAGAGGGACGTCTGGGAGGCCCTTCTCAGACTTCTGCCCCCAAGACCCGACCCCGGATAAGCGGAAGAAAGGATGGATGGATAATTTTTAGGGCATTTCTTTTTTTTTTTTTCTTCCCCACTTTTAAATACATTTTTAGTCCCATACTTAAACTAATATTATTTTCACCATCATCATTTCCTTTCATCATCTTTCACCACCCGTCACAATCTCAAAGCAAAACCCTAAAGGCATTTCTTTTTATTTACAGTATTATTATTATTATTACTATTATTACTATTACTAAGTCTCATAGTTTATTATGTGTTATATATCTTTTTAACTTACACAAAAAATATGTTTGTTGTATCTCGACTATCCTCAACCATTTTTCTTGTAGTGCTTCTTTCTTATAAACAAAACTGAACCAAGACTCATCTATAATCCAGACTTCCAGTCCAAATCCAGACTTAAATTGTAATGTTAAAAATGTATTATAGCAAATGCATTTCAGGACTCAAGCAGGTCTAAATCTGTCCTAAGTATTCTAAATCTAGGCCTGTTACGAAAATTACTATAGAGAGTTGCAAAATATTTATTGTGGCGACTTTTTCTTTGTACCAGAGGAGAATTTTGGAATAATTTTCTGTACTATGACAAAGTTTGAGCAGTAGAAGGTAGAATAAATAACATCTATGACTCATTATAGATACGTACTAACTCCTAAAGTGTTTTTAGATTTAGAATAAGCAGATTTTTGGCACTTTTTGCACTAAATCATGGAACTTGGCACTGCACACACTCGTCCCATTAGGATTACACCCTCCAAATTTGAGATTTGTCGGATGAGCGGTTCGAGAGGTATGCGTGGAACAGACAAACAAACACACAGACAGACGTTCCTTGCATTAATAGATAGATAGTACTACAAGTAAAAACTCCCTCAGGTCTGTACTGAAGAGTAGAATGATTCTGTAAGGGGTATATATTTTTTAACTTGCATAAACAGTCTGTGTTTGTTATGTCACACTATCCTCAACCTTTTTTTCTTGTAGTACTTTGTCAGCTTTCTCCTGGAGGCAGCCTGAAAAGAGTCTTAAAGAGAGTCCAGAAGAGTTAAAGCAGTTCACAGACATGTCTCTTTATTGGTTCAAGCAGTTACACGTCTCTGATTCAGGTTGATTACAGGATTAAGCCACAAGCATCTCTTCACGTCACCCCCTTTAGTACAGCAGAGCAGGTAGCTTTATACTGACCATCTTGTCAAAATATTGACTGACTGTATAACTTGTTTTTGCAGGAAATTCACAGTAATATTGACCCAGACAGAGTTATCATGGATTAGCACATGTTAAAGTGTTCAGACCCTCCGCCTTTTCTGTCTCATATACATCACAAAGTCCAAACAACATGTCCCAACCCCATTGACACTTCAGAACCCCGACATTGACATCTCTTATAACACATCATGTCAAGGGACATTGAGTGAACAAGTAATATGGTTGAATTAAAATAAAGCATTAAAAACACAGAGAATAATTCCGACAACTTCTTCCTTGTAATTGGTACTAAATGTAAAATTTCTTTCAAGGACTAGATGTCCAGAAACAATCACACAAATGCTCCTGAACATGTGTCGTTTAAATCCATTTTGTATTTTTTCCACACGTTTCCCTAATGTCTGCATTGTGTCACCATAGAAACTGCTGAACAGTTCACCATAGACATGTAGAACACCCCCAGTGTGATCCAAAGTACTAATAAGAACTCAAGTCATTTAGTCTAGTTGGTTCATACTGTAGGTGTGCTCTTGGGCAAGACACACAACTTAACCTGTGCTTTTTTGTTTTAATTAGTACTAAACGTAACATTTCATGAACTCACTCAGGTTTGTGCTGAAGAGTAGAATGATTCTCTAAGGGGTCTCATAGTTAAGTAGGTATAAAATAAGCAGGAATTATATATTCTTAAACTTATTAGCTGTTTTTGTTATTCCACGGCTATCCTCAACTACTACTTGTAAAATTTCTTTCAAGGACAAGATGTCAAAAACAAAACCAAAAAAGTCTTAACACTTTTTATTAGATGAATAACTGCAATAACTATGCTTTCAGTCTGTCAAAGTCATAAAAAAGTGTCTATAAACTGAAGTAAAATATATAAAAAATATCATATTTTCCTCTGGGCCCTGGTGGCAGATGGCCCACGGCCTGGTTATGGGCATAGAAATACACACAGAAAATGTATAGACTGCTGTAATGTTACTGATATTTAATGAGATAACCCGAGAAATGTAATTATCCTGCTCAAAACAGCACAATTCCCCGAGTAGTTCTGGAACTACTACTACACTTCTACATATAAAGCACGACTATAATGGACCAAAGTTTCAACCATTATTTTCGATGATTAACCTAAAAAATTTTAACCGAAATCAAGATCAGGTTGAAGTTCACTTTCCCCGCAATAAAAACTGTTTTTTTTTTTTAATTATAAACATATCTGCTAAAAATAACAACAACAACATTAAAAATACTAAAAAATACTAACAGCAATAATAGTAAAAAATAATAATAATAATACTTACAGCAACAACAACAATAACAGTAATAACACTAAAAACAACAGTAAAAATAATAACAACAACAATAGTAAAAATCATAACATCAACATTAAAAATACTAACAACAACAGTAAAAATACTAGCAAGAACAGCAACAGTAAAAATACTTACAACAACAGTAAAGATACAAGAGTACAACAGTAAAAACTACAAAACCAACAGTAAAAAATACAACAACCACAACAGCAGCAGCTCATTTGCAATTCTGCTACTCATAGAACCATAGTTACACACTGTAACCTCTCAATCTTGTACCAATTTATATCAACAAATTTTAATTTTAATTTCTCCAGATAATTTATTCCCATCTCCTCATTCTCCCATGTGTTTACTATGGATTACTTAACATCACCCACATTATTTATATCCGGCTTCATTTGCACTTTGTTTACCCAGCGGAGGTGTGATCTCGCGGCTCTGTTTGACAATTTACAGTGGCACTCCGCCTGTCTGCCTTCACAGATTTGTAGAGCTGTGATACAAACTGCTAAAAGGCAAGATTTAATAACGCCATATCTCACAATAGTCAAACATCTCTAGTGAATCCTGTGTAGCCTCCAGCGCTGTCTCCACCTGCACCTTCTATTGACTTAAGACACTCACGCAGTCCTCCAGAGCCCGTGTAAACCAATCTGATTCTTTTAGTGAATAAAGGAGATATTGGAGAGTGGATTAGAGACGTCTTATTTCAGGCATTTTTCTTGGATTATCTGGGGATTTTAGCAATGTTTTAGCTTCACTTTTCTCTCTTTTTTTTATCGATCTAGTTAAATTAGATTAGAGAGATGTGGGTTATACAGGTGTTCAGATGTCATCAACGTTCTCTGGCAGCGTGAAGTTAACTGAAGGCACCGCTCTGTCTGAAGCTCTAATTAAAGCCCGTACCGATCACAGGCTCCTGAACATGTGTCGTTTGAATCCATTTTACACTTTTGAGTTTTCACATTATTTTAAAACTTTGCTGGTAATGTTTAAAAAAAGTGACAAAATTGGAGAGCTGCACTGGATCAAAACTTACACATACAGGTGCTCAGCAATAGCCAGGCTGGAGCCACCTCAATTTCATTTCTCTCCAGCAACTAGGTCAGGAATCGGAATACACTGGACTGTTTACAAGAACCCTGGAAGTTGTAGACCGCGCACCGGCCAATCAGTGAAGAGCCACGACGTCAAACTCAAGCGTCTGTCTGTGTCCCTTTTGTGGTACAGCACAACAGTAAACAAAGAGGTCGAGATGGATGTTGATGAAGACAGACATTCTGTGTTGGCAACAATTCCCAAAATCGAGGATTTAAAGCCGGAACAAAGAGAATGTTTGGTGAATTTTATCAAGGGAAAAGACGTTATTGCCCTTCCTCCTATGGGATTTGCCGGATTACATACGTCACGACCAAACATCAGCGATTGGTTAAAAAGAAAAGTACCTGCCTACCATCAAGCGAGCGAATCCTAATGCTGCGAGGTCAGACAGTTTCCACAAAGTGAAACTGGCTGATGAATCAGGCTAGCTCATCAGACCAGAGGGCTTGTATTCTTGTTGAGCAGAAAGAAGATGTCAGAAGCACTCTTATTTGCAATGTTTTTATTAATGATCACGCCAATGCATTTTAATTACTTATGAGTCTTCATCAGGCCTGATAGAGTGAGCAGAAGCTGTGACTATTTATGGGGTCATGACCCCCATCCACGAGATTATTAAAAACTAAATATCCATAAACATCTACATGTTAATTTCCTGTATATTGACAACATACCATTCGTAACACAACAGATAAAAAAGCTCCAAACCTGTATAGGTTGGAGTTTAATCAACGATAAATATTTCCCTTAGGAGGACACAGCACACTTCATCTAATCTGATTCATCAGCCACTTTCACTTCATGGAAACCATCTGACCTCGCAGCAGTAGAATTTGTTCGCTCAACGGTAGGTGGGTATAATTTATTTAACCAGTCACTCTTTGTTCCGGCTTTAAATCCTCGATCTCGGGAATCGTTGCCAACACAGAATGTCTGTCTTCGTCTACATCCATCCATCTGTTGTGCTGTACCACAAAAGGGACCCAGACAGGCACTTGAGTTTGACGCCATGGCTTCACAGCTCTTTGCTGATTGGCCGGTGCTCGGTCTACAACTTCCTTGGTTTTTGCAAACTGTTTCGTGTATTCTGATTCCTGACCTAGTCACTGGAGAGAAATGAAATTGAGCGGAGGCACTAGGTGGCACCAGCCTGCCTCCACTTCATCAAGAATTGTTTTAAGTTAACATTAGCACAGAAAGCACCAGATTTTTTGTAAGGAAGTTTATTAAAAGTACCCAGGTATTTGGTGGCCAATTGTCAAGAGGGGGCATCTTGTCTCCTCTTGACAATATGATGTAAAGACACAACATCTGGAGGCAGTAATTAACAAGAAAGCATGCTGTATATGTTGAATCTTAATCGTTCCAATAGTTATGGGAGCAGCTTTATAGTTCAAATAGTTCATGTTTCCTAATGTGTGCGTTGTGTCACCATGGAAACTGCTGAACATTTCACCATATACATACATGGAGAGCACCTCTAGCATGATGCAGAGTAAGAACTTAAGTTGGTTCATACTGTAGTTGAGCTCTTGGGCAAGGCATTTCACACAACTTAACTGTGTGAATGTGTTAGTTAGCGCGTGATCTTGTCGAGAAGTTAATTGGTTGTTAAAAAAGTTGTTTAAGAGATATGGATTTAATGAATGTTTGAAGCGAGTTTAAATTCTGAATGTCTTTTATTTCAGATCTCAGTGAACACCAGTAATGCTCAGCCACTGGGGAAGCAGTTGGTGGCGTTCACCAGCAGGGCGGCGCACTTCACTGACGTCATGGATGTCATCTTCGTCACTCATCTGGTGGAGAGGCTGACCAGGCTGCTGGGCAAACACAGAGATGTAAGAAAACACTTAATACAAAACAAAACACGCAATCTTGGTTCTGTAAGTAACTCTAAGTTCTACAGGGCATTATATTGTGGCCATTTTGTCTTCATCTCCTGATTTGTACCTCATGGAGCTCAACAGTGACTGGTTTCAGAAGTACATTTTTCGTCACATTTATTAAAACAGTTTGCAGAATCTTTCATTTTTCATGTGCTTTAAAACTACCAAAATGAGTTACTTCATAGCTGGTTAGTTGCCATAATGTTTTTGAGCTCTTAATGTTTGGATTTTTCAACAAGTCTATGGGGAAATAAAACAAATAGAAAATGTACTTCAGAAATCAGAACAGACTTTGAAGTGGGCAGGACTATTGAGCTCTATATTATACATTTTGTTCCTCATCTGCAGACAAATTGCTTGAGTTTAGGGCTGAGGAATACGACTAAAGAAATTAATCACAATTTGTTACCTCATAATAAATTCATCACAATCACAATTTTTTATTTTTTATTTTGTCGTATTAGAAGCAAATAAACACGGCTTTCAATATTATTCTGCTGATTATAAACAATACACACTTCTAATGATTGCATTCTTGCACAAAACAAATCGTGAAATTTCTTCATTAATCATAAAAATGACTGAATGTTGATGTTTAAAATGTGATTAATTGCACAGGCATACTGGCGAGCCTCCATTTCAACAATGCACACTAATAAAAATAAAAAGGACAAGATGAATGAACTTTGGCTACACACAGAAAATGGATTCATTACAATAAAATAAATAAATATTAGATTCATACAATAACATCAATTGTTGGTCAGTTCTGAGACATGTTAAAGAGGGCTTATTTTACTTTTTTATTGTTTTCAAAATGATGTATTCACCAAAAACTACATATTGACTAGGGTTGTCCTGATCTGATCACGTGATCGGCGCCGATCACATGATTTCAGCCTCGATCCGGATTTAGATGTTATGTTCCAATCAGGTATAGGATAAATAATATATGTATATAGCACACAGCACATAAGTTGTTTTTTTTTGTTGTTTTTTTTTTACTGAGGCGTGGGATTTGCTCAGGAAGCCCAGTTAGTGCGACTGTCTGTGGCACGGCCCAAAAGTCCCAGCGCGAGTGTGCCTCTAGTACAGCAGGCACTGGGACTGGGACTGTTGCCTGGGGTTCTGTGGCCCGTGTTCACACCTGTGCGGCCGATAGCGTTGGCCCACGGCGCTTGTTTGTTTGCATGTTGAGTGGTGGGACCGATGTTGCGGTACATGTTCTGCTGTTTGTGGTGCGCGCTCCACGGTGGGTTTGTGGATGTGGTGGTGGTGCGGGGGAGAGAGGCTGTGGGGCTTCTGTCATCTCGTTTTTACTTGGTAAGATCTTGTATTATGTGGATATCATAGACAAGCCTAAATTTTTCAAATGTAATACACAGGCTTCCATATAATATCAAATATACAAACTCTAGATTGTGCAGAGTCTAGTCTCACGATCTGATCTGATTCTGGTCTGGTTCCTGTTTTGTCCAGTTGATTAAATATACTAACTTACACATTCCAAGACCAGACTGTGGTAAAAGTGAAGATTTTCAGCAATGATGGTTCATGGCTAGAAAAGTTAACAAAATTAAAGTTTTGGACATTTTATTTTTCACAAGTTCAGCCCAACTACTACACACTGAAATCAACACAATCTGATCCCACACATACATCCTGGATCTTATTTTTTGCTCTTAGTTCATTTCATAATGTTTTCTAGAAGTATCAGATCGGGACTCGGTATCGGCAGACACTCAAAATCAAATGACTCTGACTCGGGGGCAAAAAAAAAAGTGATCGGGACATCCCTAGTATTAACATTCACTTTTGTTTTCATTTTAAATTTTACAACTGGAGCATAGATGACGCTTTTAAGTTGAGTCTTGGACAAAATCTTGTTAAGGTGGGGGACGAGGGACCCAAAAGCAGAATCGGAACAAAGTCAAGTTTAAGCAGTTTATTGTACAAACGCAGGCAGGCTGAGGAGGCAGGGAGCTGGCCAACTTCTCCGGAGGCAAAGGCAGACGATCAGGAGACACCTGGGAGAAAACAGGAGTAGGTAAATCCAGGACAAACAAGAAGCAATACAGGAATAAATCCAAGAGCCAGGTGACGCTACCGAACAGGACAGAATTATCTGGCAAAGTGGTGATGAGAAGACCAGGGCTAAATACTGAGGTAGATGAAGGGATTGATTGCAGGTGTGTCTCGTCTGCTCCGGAAAAAGCCAGCCACGCCCCCTGCCACACTCAAGCTCTGAAACAGAAAAGGGAGGGGGAGAGAACAAAAAACACAAATCCTAACAAATCTTACAGCTAATCATAAAGAGAGCTTGAATGGGGCCTGGGAGAGATCACTAAATTACTCAAACAAAGCATGGATGCCATCGAAAACCTATTCAAGCATATTTTTGATGAGGGAACAACATAACAGGGTAGAAATCTCTGAAAAGTCCAGGTTGCATTATACCCCCTTCACATGTTTAATCCAATCTCCAAATACAATAAACCTTGAGAAATGAAGAAAACGTCTATTTTATGAAATTACCCTTTCTGACCCACTGCCCTTTCCATGAGATTTAAATGGACTGGCCCCATCTAAAATGTCATTGAACAAATAAAAGGGCCAATCACGTCTAGAGACTACAGCATCCTCCAGGAAAAGCCTTAGAGCCATCACTCTGGCCTCCACGCTCCGATCGATCCCAGACGGCTTAACTCCTCACCTCATGTGCCCTCCTCCTGGCCGCTCGGCAGTACTGCGCTCCTCGCAATTACAGCTCTGAACGGGGCTCGGATGTGTCTTTGGGGGCAGCTCGCGTTTGGCCTGGAGTGAACTCTTTTGTCTGAGGGGTTTCTGGTCACGTGGTCAGGGCGGGTTGGGCTGCGTGGGGTCTGTATGTGGAGTCTGCGTGTTCTGCCTGTGTCTTAGTCTAGGTTACGTGCAGCTGCCGTGGGTTCGCTGTCAGTTTAAAACATACATATCTGAGTAATCTTGAGTACTATTATGCTATTTACTGATCTATGTTCTAATCTGTATGTTGTTTCCTCATCACAAACAGACCCAGAGTTGTGCGTTTTGTTTCAGTCACACATGTTTAACGCACAAATCCTGCATATTTAGGCGGAGTTCATCTCTCAAATGGAAAATGTAGTAATACAGGAAGTTCTTCACTATGTTTTTAAACTTTACACATCTTCTCTAAAATCATTTGGATGATTTCAGTCCTGGAATTGTTTATTTACACCATACAAAGGTAAAAGGTAACTGTTAACTTTGGAGAATTACATCTCAAAGTGGAACAGAGCATTTGCTTTGGAGATGTAGACAGACTAATAACAAAAGATTACTCAAACTATGGCTAAAAGCTTTTAAGAGTCAATTTTGTGTACAATAGAGATAAAAAGATAAAGTTCCTGGTGCTCCTGACAAACATTTTAGCTGAAGATTTGGGGTCTCTATGTTGAAATATGGGTCAAGTGCAGATGAGAAATGCACTTACGATGACAGTCAGGTTTATCCTCATCTTAACTCCGGCATTCATGTGTTATGTTTTACAATAACGTTATTTCGAAACTCATTCTGAGTAAATTAGAAAAAAAAAAACAGACATTGCAGTTGCTTTGTGAAACAAGCAGGCTGTGTTATGGGACAAGCTTTTGTTTTTCAGGTTAGTACATGCTGAATGTTCCAGAGTATCTGTCCTGCATTTATTCAGATACAGTTTTATTGCTAAAAATACGTAAAAACACATTTTGTGTATGAATGGGCTCAGCACTCAACTGATCTTCGAGGCTGGTGGTTCAAATCCTGCTCTCGACATAAACATCACATGGTTGAGTGGATCTAATAACCCACAGGTTAGGGGTGTCATTCCAGTTCCCTCCCTGTTCACACTCGGGTGGTGTCCACACAACAACGTTATTTGGTCGAAACGTGAAGTTTATAGTATTGTGTGTCCAGTGGCTCTGGCTGTATCCAGCACATGCAGTTGTGGCAAATGTATTACATCGTTTTCACTCAGTGCTCCATCGTTGTGCAGACGTGGATTGTTTAAAAAATAAAATAAAAATCCAGTAGCGTTGTTGTGTGGACATAGCCTTAACCCATTTCTGTGTAGACTCTGTACATCTGACTGGGTGACAGGTGCTTTGGAGGAGAGGTACTTGGCTGTAAAAGAAAACTCCTGGTTTTCTTTTACTGATGCGACGTTTCTGTACCGAAAATGTGGTATCAGTTAAAGAAAACCAGGAGTGAGACAGTGCACGGGAGTTTTCTTGAAAACAGCCAAGACACTTAACCCATCTCGCCCCCGTCGTCTGCCTACGCCGATGTGTGATTGTGTGTGTGTGAATGGGTGAGTGGTTCATGTTGTAAAGTGCTTTGAGTGCCTTGAAGGTGGAAAAGTGCAATATAAAAATGTGACCATTTACCATTTAACAATTATCATGACTGACCTTTGTAAAAGAATTTAAGTAATTTATCCTCCACATACATCTCAGTTTAACACTGACTCACAAAAGCTATATTTACACCATGATCTTCCCTTGGCAGACCATTGGTTATACCACTATCTAAATTGTGGCACATTTCTGTCTAACAGTTTCTCCTGGCCTTCATAGTCTCACCACACTCACTTTATACACCTCCTCCTTTGGAAGCAGAGTCAAAGGGGCTTGAACACTCAAAGATCATACTATATTCACTTTTGAAATCATGCTATGTTGACCTTTCAAGCTCCCCGGGCCCGTATTATTGATGGTAAATAAACTTCTCCTGCTTAAGACGTCCAGTTGGTCTCCAGCCTTTTACTTCCACCCTACCAACAGTTACATAGTACATCTATAATTGTCCACTAAAGCTAAATTAGTCCTCTGCATTTGACCCATCCTTCAATGCTGCTGATTTTGAGCTAGAGTTTTCAGCAGTTAGATTAGCTGAACGAAAATAAATCACCTAAATTC